TACTTACGATAATTTCGGGGAACATATATATATATATATATATATATATATATATATATATATATATATATATATATTTATGTGCGTGCGTATAGCATTATTTTGGAAAAGAATTTGCTGTTGTTTTAAGCTTCAGAGAAACCTTTCTATGGGTAAAATATCATACATATTATTACTTGGATAGTTTTAACGCAAAATATCGAGCATTTGTCATGTGTTTATTTCGAACAAAATGCTTCCCTTCTCATGAAGAATATAGTGTCGACAAGGATACTGGCTCATTCGTATTAGACCAACAATGGAGGCGTATCAACAAACTTTTCAATATTTCAAGAATTTGTCGTGTCGAGAGTTGTTCGCGCATATTCCGAATATATATTTTCGGTGTAAAATAATTTGCAAACAATTAGCAAACAATGATGAATAAATAGATGATCAATTGATAGATAGATAAATAATAGAATCAAATGGGATCATATAAACCCGTAATGGATAATATGTTTAAAAAATATATTTTCGTTGAAATTTTTATTAAAGTCAGAATTGATTTTCCAAAATTTAATTCCCAATTTATGGGCCCAAAATGGCGTTTCTCGAGTACATTTGATATCGACGTGGTTTCCAGTTGATCTGAAGAATTTTGTTTCAATTTTTTTAATTAACAAGAAACAAGAGCGAAATGAGTAATATTTGTCATCATTAATCTAGTTAATAATCATTTTTCCACGCAAATTTCATTAAAATGGAGACTGTATTCGTTTTTATTCGTTGAAACGAATGTGATGCTTATTCCGTACAAGGTTGATCAGCAGCAACCCTCGCGGCAGAAATCAAAAAGGGAACAACAAAGTAAGGGATTTAATAGGGACGCACAGCATGGCTGATCACGCGTAGGCTGCATATTCAGAAATGAGCATGCCTAATGTTCATGCACGGGTTCATAAATTGCCGTGGTGTAAGTGGCGAAGATTGAAGTCTTATTTTGTAAAATCATAGCGTACATTCGCAATCAACCGTAATTAACGCTACGTTACTCCGCATGTGTAATCTGTTATGATGATGGTGTACATGAAGTAACGGGGATGTGGCAATAAATCAATACAAAAATTGAGTACGTAAAATTTTATTCTTTTGTTAATGTTAAACTCGAAAATCACCATAAATCGTTTTTGATATTTCCTCTAAAAAAATTCCATTTCGCTTTGTTAAAAAAATTTATAATTCAAGTAACGCACGGATAAGAAAAGTGTGACAGTTCTTCTATCCACGAACATACGAATCAATGATAGCACAATGTAAAAACGAACATCGTATATTAAACGCGTTTTCGTCTTACACTTGTGATAAAAGTAAGAGATTTTGGCAATTAAATAGTCAAATAGTCTTCCGTCAATGAATATTCTTACAACGCCGCGACAAAAACAGCAATATATAGAACATTTCATTGATGATGGACAAGGAAGAAGGAAGAGATATGCAAAAAAGATGCAGTAATATTAATTTATATTGCATTGTATCGTATCAGGAGTGAAAGGGTGGACGTAGACCCCATGACAATGTGAGTGTAGCTATAAGAACGAGCGAGTAGAAGAAACGAAGCAAACTGGAATGAAAGCAGACAGCAAAAGCGCTACAACGCGTGCGATACGAAGCTGGAGAGAGAGTACTAAGCTAGAAACTCATTACGGTCGCTCCGCCCCTGCTGTTCGACGAAGCGCCGACCAATCGCATACTGCCGGATCGTAATCGCACACTGGAGCGTAGTGCACCGTTTAATCTCTGCACCGCGCCCAAGTATTACATGTGTACAGAACTCTTTCCGTCAAAATTTAGAAGTTAACAACTTGAGGAAAGAGCATAATTTACAGGATGCTGCGGCAACATTGAAGATCTTTTCGATACACTGAAATATTTCCATACTGGTCGTTATTGACGATTTTCAATTATGTAACGAAATCCTACTTCACCGTGTTGGATCTTACTCCGGACTCACTTCGGATGTAAACATGGATGAATCGGAAAAAATGAAAAAATTTTTTAATCTCTCGTATGCTCGTACAAGGTTATTAGATGTTGTCTAAATGTTTTCTAGTGATATGTATCTATTGCTAATTCTTTTCATTGTTAAAGCACCGTATAACACATATTTAACGTAAATAAACTAATTTGCTATAAAAGGTCGATCGTGCGTGAAACACACCTGTTTTTGTCGCTCAGAATGAGAAGTCTCTAAAATACATCTCCTACATATCGATGCTAAATAAGAGATAATGGAAACACACGAGAGCGGATTCGCAACGCGACTAATGCCGCGCTGGGTGTTAATTGCATTTCCAATTTACGGATGGCGAAATATTTGACGTCCCGTAAAATGTACGAGTGTGCCTCGTGTGTCGCGTGTGTCGATAACTGCGTTCACGTTTGTCACAAAGAGAGAAAATGCACGCAAAATACGGACGACCGAACGAGTAACAAAAAGAAATTCGGCCACTCGCTAGTCATTGATTTGCCGATATTCAGCGATTTAACTGAATAATTGAAGACAAACCGATTTTTTGCATCCGCGCAGCTATTCGCTCTCGGCGATGGGTACCAGTTTATTTATTTCTTTTTTGTCTTTTAAAACGTTCGACAGAACGCGATTCAATGCGTACTTTTTAATATACATTTATAAGATCAACCAGAATTTTAGACTTTACTTTCCCTGCTCCTCTTTCACATCTTTTTAACAGGACACAATTTCCGAGCACCGGGATGAAAATAACAAGCTTCTAAACGTAAAGTAAATATTCAACGCCGGAAATAATTCAGCAGCTACGGAAGTGGACACGTGTGTTTAATAAATTTATATATGAAGAATTTATACACAGGAAATTTGCATACGTGAACAATTTTAGTTGCGACTGTCGCTTGTAATATTTGTAATATTAAAAAATTAAATAAACGTCGAAAATGAATTAATTAATCATGTGCTGAGAAACTGTACAAAAACGATTATATTATGAGAAAATCAATGATTAATTTGAAATTTTCATTATCTCTTCAAATAGTTATCTGTGATACTAGAAAATGAACTAAATTTCAAAACACACTGCATATAATTTCTTTCACATAGTTTCTCTATATATTGAGGTTTTAATTCTATGCTTATGCATAACAACGATATTTTTATGTTTATTTATTATGTTTATTTATTATGTTTATTTATTATTTTATGTTTATTTATTATGCCATTTATTCATGACAGTGTGAAATAAAAGTAATTGGCCACGATACATATTATACATGTATCGTATTACATATGTATCGTAGGGTACGTGCCAAAAATAATGTAAGCGTCCGAAATTATATCTGTTTCAATTCCTGAAATAAACTGTTCTCATATATTACGTTTCGCGGTTTGCTAATCGATCGATTCGCAGCATCGTCGTCGGATCAATTTCATCGGTGCGATGAGAGAACATCGGTGCGGTGCGACGACAACGCTCTCGTTCACCCTCCTCCCCCCTCTCTCTCTCTCACTCTCTCTCTCTCTCTCTTTCTCTCTTTTGCCCTTTTCCTTTCTCAATTCCATATTCCAAGATGGCCGGCGCTTATACGCCAAGTGCTTGTGAACGTGCGCGCGAATGGAGGCCGTGGATAGCAAAAAAGGATAAGCGTAATAACATAGTATCGTTAATGGCTGGGCAATTTGAACGTGCACGAGTGCCTTCCCTTTTCTCCTTCTTTCTTCTTCTTTCATTCTCCCACCCATCTCCTCCTTCTTCTTCTCTTTCCGCTCAGTCATTCTCTCACCCTTCTTTCCTTCCTACCTTTTCTTTCTCTCCCACACCCTCTCTTCTTTTTTTCAAATAATATTTTTTTTACTCTTTTCCATTCTTTTCTTTTCTCCTTTCTTGCTGTATTCTCAATTTCGCTTCACATTACAGCAATTGCACTTTAATCCATATATTTCTATTCTGCAACGACTTTGTATTATTTCATGAATTCCAAAAATTTCCGAAGGATTAAATTTGTGGATTTGAAAAATTAGAATTCATTCATCTATATAAACACACACACACACACACACACACACACACACACACACACACACACACATATATATATATATATATATATACAAAGTAAATGAGTATGAGGACAGGCGCACACGTATATGTGTGTGAGCGCGTTACATCCACATAAACGAAAGGATTAACGGGAATTGAATATAGCGCGGTGGGCGGCAAGAAGAAGGAGAACTGATGATCGAGAGTTTCAAGCAGCCTTTAGAAGAGTGGCTCGTTCTTATGTGTATACCGACGGAAATCGAGACTGCACTATTAGTCGTTACCTATAATCTCTCTACTTGGTCCTATCGCTCCCATCGGTATCGATAGTCATTTCGTTTCTTCGACTTTTGACCTACGCTTCGCGAGACTGTAATCAAAGCATAAATCGTGTCCAGCTGTTTTTTCACGAAGCGTTTAAAGACAAAACAAGTTGATCACGACATGGGTTCTATTCCCTCCTTTCCCTCTTCTATTATCATAACGTTCGTCCGCGTCTGTCTCCCACAATCGTCTCTTCTTTCTCTGTGCTTTATTCTATACGATCTCACGTCGTTTCACTACATCTACGGCAACATTTTCCCAAGACCACCATTTACTGAGCATTAAATTGTTCCTCGACTGGTGTCTACTCGCGACTTGCGCGTGAATCGTGTGACCTCGGTCGGTTTTTTATATGTATTAAACAATGCGTACCATTTTTCGTTGGAGGCTCTTATATCGTGAGTCGATTAGTGCTCGGAATAGTATTTTGTCGACGTTAGAAAAAAATAGGTTTGAACGAATTGTGTGATCAAACTATTTGGATAGTTGAAGTAAGAACACATTCGAGATTTTAATTAAAAGATTTTAAATGAATCTAATGTTTCATTTTTGTTTATCAGCTCACAATATCCACTGATTTGATTATTCGAGAAGTTTAAATATTAAGAAAAATTCAGGCCAAAGTAGTATTGCAAATAGCTTTTATTTATTTCCTTTTTATACATCACTTAAACAGTTATAGTTAGAATATTATTTGAGTATACACCTTGAAGCATCTAAAAGATCTAAATAGATTGAATTACAAAATTTCATTTTTTGGAATGGTTCTACAATTTCAAACACTAATATAAACAGCTTTAATAAAGCCTTTCAGTTATAATTTAAGCATTTCTAGATTTCCACTAAAAAAGTGATAGGATGCGATACGCTTTTCGTGACACATTCTTGGGTATAAATTTTTATTGGTAGACAGAGACTTAAGGAGGCAGCAATAATTTGTTTTAATGTGATTGAAACTAAATGACTACATTTTTATGATACAAGTAGTTCATATCGATAGAAGAAATCAGTTTGCGACGACCATTACAACGGAATTACGTTTCAGTAATTATCATCATTTTGTCCTTTTTCACGGCGTAATTGAGAAATGTAATTACCCGTATGCATCAATTTTCTCAGTTTATCCATAAGATCACAATAAATCAACAGCGGCTGCAAAGAGGATATTGACATATTTATTAAATTATTAAGCAAATCATATTAAATGCGATCTCTCTGTCCTGTTCGGCATTCATATATATAATTTATTTAGCATTAAATTATATTTTTTATTTTTATTTTATTTATTCACCAATAATTCGCGAATATTATTTTGTCTAAAATATCTAAAAGACTTACTTGTTCATCGGTATTTCCGTGCACCAACATCTTTAATCTTTTGAGCTCGTTGGTAGTAAAACCCTCGTCCAGAGGGTTGAAGATTGAATTTGATATCTCCGCGGAATTTGGAGTCTCCGATCTTTTTCCGTTAGTCCATCCACGACTATATTGGAAAGTTTGGCAAAATACGACATTCATAACCAACGACAGGATGACAACGACGAGTATACATTTGTAATTGGTCATCTACAAAAAAACAAATACTTTATACTTAGCGAAAATATTATTCTGAGCTAGATTTATAGTACATTTATTACTACATGATCAGTATAAGAAATTTTCTATTTAATATTAAATAAATATTATATATGAGAGAATCCATATTTTTCATAAAAGAGAATCCATATTTTTCGAAAGTAAAAATGCGTCACAAAGCTATACATGGAAAATTTGTAATTCATAAAAATGGTAAACACACACATATAAGGTCAATTTCTAAATTAGTTAATTCTCTTTAAATGAAGAATACAATTAACACATGTTATACTTGTACAAAGTGAATGATATTTTCGAAAATTTTCAGCGCATGCTCTCGGCATGCCTGTTCCGCGCGCTAATTTTAAGAGGACCATTAACGCTACGAGCGTCCTCCGAGTCATTAAGATAAGGGTAAGTGCTACTAAGTGTCCGAACAGATAAGCGACGTGACCGGCATCTCCGTTGCATAGAGATGAAGCGTCTTTTCGTCTTCGAGTTGCCGCTGGAACGCTAACAAACACATGAGTGCACCGAGTGTGCCAATAATATCAATCGCTATTTAATTTGTAGCGAAATGAGAAAGATAATCCTTCGGAAGTTGAGAGAAAAGAAATAAATATGTCATTATATCATATGCAATGCAATTCATATTAACTAATAAATAGGTTGATTAACGCAAAGTGTACTATTGTATGTATAAAATTTAATACGTTAGAAATTAATTAATTAAATGATATCTTTCTAAGCGTTTGAAAAGTATCTTTTAGCTCTTACAATTTTTATAGAATGTGCATTAAAACATATACGCGCGCGCGCGCGCGCACACACACACACACATCGTATAATAAAATGGGATTTTTTAATATCAAGGAAACAATTTGTTTCACAAATATATGGTCGAATGTATATTGTAGATTTTCTATCGACGACCAATTGTCGCGCGTTTCGTAATCCATTAGCACTATGACCGGATTGTTCCGTCTTTACGTTTCCCGTAAGTTTATGTTTATGTCTATCAAATGTCATTTTCTCTATTGATACTTCTATTAATACATATGATTACTTTTCACGATATAAGGATTTTTAATTTGTGATAGCAACAACTGATAAAATTTTTCCATTTAAATGGTTTGTTTTATAAAATTGGCTTAAAAAGTGAAACTATAACAGGTATAAAAAGTATTTTGTTCATCCCACTACTTTATGAAATATTTTCGCATGACAAAATAAATAAAGCTGCTGCAAAGAGATTTATATTTAAATATAGATATAAACAAAAAAGATACCTAGATAACATATGTCTTATAATTATAACAAGCATGCTCAAAATGTCCTGGGCAATATCTCAGAACGTCCTGAGCAGAGTGATCTGAGGATATGTTATCGGAACATATACTATCTAAGTTTAATACGAACGATTCTTTGTAGTAATATTCTGACATAAAATGATTACAAAAAACGTACAAATACTGCTTTTACTGCATTTTTGTTAAATATTTTCTTTACTTTCAAATTATTAAAAAAAATTAATTTCACAAAGAAGCATCTTAAATACTGCAATTGTAAAAATTGCGGAAGGAACACTTTTTCTTCTTTTGCCCTATCGATCATAACTTTATATTTACTTTCTTATAATCTCAAAGTGTCTTCTGCTATTCTTAAATTTTAAAATATAAAATCGCAAATGTCGCGCCATCTCTGATACACTTTTCGATGTCTTGTATTTTTGTGTCTTATTCTAGAATTCTACGTGTTCTTCTATCGCAATTACATCACCTGTTACATCAATGGTCGATAAGAAAGAAACTCCCACAATACAACATACACTTATAAGTTCAACAATATACTACAGTGGATAAATTAGAATTTCAGCAGATTAGAGTCTTTTGTAAAAATCTTTTCTAAAAAAAAAGAAGGGAGAACTTCTTTAATAAAATATAAAAAAAGAAATTCTCCAATTTAAAACAAAAGATAGATTAATCGAAAATATTATTCTTTTATTAATTTTTTTTCGGTAGACATATAAAATGTACTAATATGTTTATAATATAGTCGTAAAATCGAATCATCTGTTTTTCAAGTAAGAGATTGATAATCGACATGAATGTATTTTGACACTTTACATTAAATAAAAAAAATATAATCGTAATTGTAAGTACAATATAACATGTACGCACCTTAACACACCGAGTTTTCGTTCTCGTTGCTCAGATAGGAGTATGTTTCAGTAGAAGGTCCTACCGACGAAATGTCATGGCTTGTCAATCGACGCGATGCTTTATATAATCCTTCGAGAGGTATTATCCTGCGTAGTAATGTATATGTATATATATAGAAGGTAGCATGACCAAATTCTTAGTCGTCAGCGCCAATGATAAGACTAGTAATTACTAGCAATTAATATTAGTTGATATTGTGCGAAAATTGGCCTAATATACAGATCCGTTGGACATGTAAGCACCTATGCTATATGGCTTATCATGTTAGGTAAACTATATTGAGTTATTAAGTAATTACAGCTGTGTAATAATACGTGAATAATTATTCGCATGACCTTAAAGTTACACTACGTTGAATCGTATCTTTGAAACTTTTTTACAAGATTTCTTTTCAAGATTGCAAATAGTATCACAAAATTGCAAACAGATCCAAACATGTTCCTCGAGCGTATCTGTAAAGCTCGTTCTTTCGTCACGTTGCGCATTCGTTAGTAATTTTTGTGAAAATCGCAAAACAGATAATTTTATGCAATATAATGTGTATATATATATGTATATGCCTGTAAATATGTAGATGCACGTACACCTGAATTTAAATATAGCGCCCATCCCCACTCCGTATTACTTGACCTATTTTAATTTGGTTACTGCCAAGTTCTACTATAGGTGGTGCTAAAAATCATTTCCAATCTTTCGAGAGAAGATTTTGTACACTCTATTCTACAGTGTGTACGCCAGTACAGACTAGCATAAGCTATTGAATTTGCTGTTTTATTTTAATGTGTAGAAAGTTTAACTAAAGTGCATCTAAACAGAACAAGTCTGTCGTGTTACTGTTGATTTAACGTACGCATGCGCGTTAAATGATTACGTTTTTCCAGATTAACTTGAGTGCTTGCCAGCTCACTTTTACGAATGCATGATTCGGTTCACGCGTTCCCGTGACAACACGCGTTTCCGTGAGTGAAACGAGCAACGCGACATAAGCAGACAGGGCGCAGGTTGCTGTTGATGCTTGTAACATTCCCGATTATTGTGGTGCACGCAAGCACAGGTTGTGTCGTATCGTTGTCGCCATCGTCGTCATCATCATATTACCATCATCATCATCATCATCAGTATCAGCATCATCATCATCATCAACATTATTGTCATCGTCGTCCTTTTCGTTGTTGTCGTCGTCGTCGTCATCGTCATCATCACCATCGTCGTCGTCGTCGTTTTCGTCGTTGTCATCATCGCCTATCGACACCAAGTTTGTCGTCGTCATTTGATAATTCTTAGAATAAAGGACATGTCGTCGCTGATACCGCGTGTGGTGTTTCGATCGCAGCGAGTACAGTAACGACGGTTTCGTCAGTGCAGCACACACGCTTCGTCGCCATCGATGACGTCAGCTGCCGTCTTGCGATATGGAGTCCATCAGAAAATGGTTTTACAAACCTAAGGTGAATAATACGTCACGCTTTGCTGTGTCTCTCGTCTAGCTTATGCTCTCTTTTTCTGGCTCCACTTAATCTCAAGCATAAGTTTAAGAATATTTAGTTCTGCCCATCTATAAATATTATTCTTTTCCCCATCACACATTCATTTATAATAAATACAGGTTATAAGTCCAGCATCTGAATACTGCATTAATTATGGTTAAAAAAGATAACTTAATAGTTGTAATGCTCTTGAATTCTTGTACTTATACGTTCTATGATTCCTATGTTCCTCTTTTCTCCAATTTTTCTATACAAAATCCTAAAAATATAAATTAATCCAAAGTTGTGCACATCAGTACAAGCTTCGAGAAGAAACAAAGTAAAAGTTATCGCTTTTCTCGCTCACACTTTATTGAAAATATGTCGAACCTAGATTTAGTCTCATTATTTCCAAAGCTTTGTATCCTTTCCATTCTTGTCACTGTCCTATTGCTTGTACTTTGTTATCATTTTTCTTCACTCTGTTTTTCTGCCTTATTGTTATTCTTTTTCATTCCTTCACTCTTTCTCTGCCTTATTGTTATTCTTCTTCATTCCATTTCTCATTCATATCTCTTTCTTTATTTAACTGATATTGCTAATCTGCACGCATACACACACACACACACATATCATTTTCCTATATATTTTTTAATCCTGAAATATTAATTTTATATATTTTTTTTCAAATTAATATATTCATCTATTTTTCAATATATGACTTCAATAAGAAAATGAAAAGGATTTATAATGCAAAGTTGTAAAGAAAATAGGAAGAAAGTGATCTCAAAACGGTGTATTTGCCAAACTTTTTCTCTACAAATTATCAGCTATTTCCACTGATCCAATGGAAAAGTTTGTTACTTCCAAAGCGCAAAGTTTCTGTCACAAAGAAATCTGTATTATGTTTGTGAAAAATGCTATGAGATTAGATGGAATAATGGGAAATATCTTTCTATGATTGAATATCTTTAATTACTGCATAAAAACTAAAACTTTTTGAAAAAAAATTAAAAAAATTTCTGTATTTATCTAATAGATTTGTTAAAGAAAAGTTAGGTTAAGTTAAATAATCACTGATGCTAATAGTGACGATTTTTATAGTATCAATGATATTGGAGAAGATTGATTCTCAAACTTTAGTAAAATTTTATCAAATGAGAATAGTCCCTTCACAATATCTCTCAGTATCATTCTGCAAATTCAAACTATAAACATAATATAGTATTTATTGCAAATCCCAGCAGCACAAAATATTGTTGAATCTATAACGGCTAACCATATTGACCAACTAATATATACTGCTCGAGAAGTATCTTTGATATCAGTTATTGCTGAGAAGAAAATTCCTCATTGAGAGTACGCGTATCGCCTTAATCAGAATCCTGATTCTCATCAAGCTTGTGATAATCCGTAATTGCTTAATGTGGTGAAGGAACCTGAAATGGATAATATACCAGTTGAAGAACTTACTTTTAAACCGCCTTCAATTTATGCTGTTAATTAAGTATATAAAGATTAAGTATATAAAGATCGTGTATATATAAAGAATTGTAGAAAGTTCTATATAATCTCGTAAATATATAATTTTTATTTTTTAAAAATGTCAATTCAAGACGGTTTGAAATCAAATTCTTCAGTTAGAGCTTGGATCCAAACATAAATGTTTATACCTTTGTAATAACATAACAAAATTAATTGCAAATAAATTTACAAAAATCCTATTTTTCTTCTTTTTTTCGCTCGCACGTCACTACGCTAATCGAATGTGTGCACTTGTTCTTTTTCTCCCACCTTTCCTTCCTTCTGCGTCATCACTCTCTGTGAACTCCTCACGCGCTGTTGCCACTTGTTTGGTGAAAATTTCGCACGATGCATTGCGGCTCTCGAATGACTACGCGACTACATGCGTATATATAGTATAGAGTATAAAACCAAAAATGCCAAAATCTGACAAAACGCACAAAAAAATTAATTATTAGAAAAGCATATTATAGACCTGTAATTAATAGAAAACATTCGCGTATACATATTTCTATTCAGTATTTTAAGAAAAAAACTAATATTATTATAAAGTACAACTTCAAGTTCAAAGTCCGACACTTTCTTGAATAGATCGTAATATGCTTAAATATTTATACACAGTCAAAAACATTTTGTATTTGTGTTGAAAAACTTATCCTTGTTAATATTTTTCTGTTAAATTTTTAACATATCCATGCATTAATTTAATATATTATTATTATTTAACATATATTATGTTTGTGTTATCCACATATCTTGTGTTAAATTAATTTTCGACATATGTAAATATTAAAGTTACATATTTTATACTTCAGTATAAATTAACATACTATGTTAATTTTATTAAAAAATTATATTTTCACGCCATCTTACAATATATATAACACAAAGTGTTATTTACAATTAAAGTAAAAATGATGTAGTAGATAAGGTAAGTGACTTTCTCTCAAGAGGCAGAGTTCCCATCTATGGCAAACAAATTTTCCAAATATATCAACAAAGTGCCATATAATTAACGAGATTTCAGATAAAATTATTTAACAACACTCTTTGAAAGCAACGCAATAAAAAAAGGGGGGGTAAATAAAATATTTTTCTCCCTATGAAAATTACATTTTGTTATGTGTTACATTTGATATTATAAATATATTAATTTTATATAAAATCTGCTTCAAAATAATGTTAGTGTTAATATTTTTCGTAATAATTTTTGACATAATATTTGTGTTATTTTTTTTTATATATTCGCGTCTTGTACTAAATTAACACAAAAATTTTAGTAAATTGTTCTGGACATGTAAAATGTGTTAAATTTGATATAAATTCCTTTAATGTGTAGCGTCAAATATTGAAGAAAAGAATCGTTTCCACGTGAAGAAATATTTAATGGTTCTTGCATTATGTTTATGCGGAAGATGTGTGGGTGTATGTGTGCGTATATGTGTGTGTATGAGAAAGATTTAATATTATAATATATGTCGTTATTAATTTCACATAAAAGTTATATGCATTTTCTTATTATAAACATATTTTCAATAAGGTAAAGAATGTATATTTCTCCATCGATATAACAAGAATAAATCCGTATTTGAACTTTACATAATCGATGATCCATGAATAATATATGTTGTACGATCTCACGATTAGTTTAACTTCTTTTTAGATATATTCTCCTGAAATCTATTGAAATTATAATACATAAAAAATCCTACATAGTTGCAAAATTTCTTTTAAAAGTTATTAAATTGCAATAAAGAGATGGTGAAATAAATTATATTAAGAATAATTTAATGATATTCATCACACATATGTGAAAGATTTGTTTTGTATCATTAATATATAGTACGTTATATATATATATATATATATATATATATATATATATATATATATATATATATATATATAGTGTTAAAATTTTTATTATATATTTATCTTCATCTTATCTTCATCACCAAAATCTTTGATTAATTAATGTTGTCTCAGTGTTGGAGTGATTAATTAAACTGTTTGCGATAAAACGCGGTAACTTGAAAAGAATGATAATTTTCCGCTCATATATAAGTATAACATATATAAGTAAGTCTATACTCGCGGTATTTATAAACCAACGATAACACGATCAGGCACTCGTATATCTGAACAATGACACTGATCACACCTACGTCATAATGAAAGGGGACGATCACGTCACGATTAAAGGGTAATGGGGTGATGATCAGACCTATCGTATTTTTCGTCTTGAATAGACCTGTTACTGCCAATACAGCCTCAAGTATTACGGTAAAGGGTAAATTTTTTTTAATCATTTGCGAAATATTCAACTCTTCTTCATCAATTTAACGATTATTTTATTCAAAACGTGAATAATACACACACACATACACATACAAATACAAAAATATGTTTGATGAATCGTATTCTAATAAATGAATATTTTGTTTTCGTTACAGAAGGATGACACTAGTCTACTGGCTCAGTTCTTTTATGCTGATGAGTCGTTGAACACGGTTGCTTGTGAATTGGACTCTTTTGACGGCCGCCAGGAGCCAGAAAGATGCACGTCGCTGGTGAATCAGTTGCGACACTGTCAAGACAAAGTGCTGACGATCTGCAATCAGATTATGGATGACCTGATCCCAGAGAGCAGAGCCAACCGGGATTTTAGAGCAAAGTTTCCTGATGATGTTATGCAGGAGAATCTGGCCGGACAATTGTGGTTCGGCGCAGAGTGTTTAGCGGCTGGTTCATCAATTATGAACAGAGAGGCTGAAAGCTCAGCTATGAGACCATTAGCAAAAGCTCTCACTAAGTCGCTAGAAATCGTCAGGAACCTACTAAGAGAACACGCACTCAAAGGTCACATGAATCTGAAGGTATGGATATGTGACATATTAACAAGATTTATAGGGTTTTACAATTTTGTGAATAATTGTACGTATTGCAGTATCTTTCTCAGACGCAAAATCCACTCGAACCGTCTCTGGAAAAGCTTGTGGAATCCTTGAAGATTTTCGACCGACTTTTCGCTGATTTTGAATTATGTTATGTCGGCGCCATGGTGCCGGTGAAATCGACAAAGGAATATGAACAGCAAGAACTCGTATGTGTGTTGTTTTCGGAAACTTTACAACGAGCGCTTGAACGTGGTCTGTTGAACCAAGCAGACGTGGATAACTATGAGCCAGCTTTGATGTTCACCATTCCTCGTCTAGCCATTGTTTCTGGACTTTTAGCCCCGCCTGGAGGACCGTTGTGCCTCAATTCGCCTGATACTATAAGCGAGATGTTTAGACCGTTTAGGGTAAGAGATAAAATTCTACAGCAAACAATGCATTTTCTCATACCACGAAGTTTATGATGTTTTATTAATAAAAAAATTATTAGAAATTTAATATCCATTGCTTGAGAAATTCTCTAAAATCACGTGAACTTTTTTAGTTTTTTGCTATTTTTTTCTGCTGAAATATTTTTATCGGCAAAAATTTTGTAGTACTTTCTATAATAAATGTACAAAATTATTTATTTTCAGACCCTTCTCGTTAAGATAAGAGAACTACTGTGGACATTAAATAACAATGAGTTATACATGCTGGAGAAATTATTGTGCTCGAGCGAAGAGCCATCAAGCTCGATAATACGGTCAACAAAATCGGCGCGCCAAGATATGGAGCAGTTTGCCTATAATTTTTATACCGGTTACTCCAATTGTAAAGAATTTATCGCAGACTTTTATACCGTGACGAAAAACGCAGGCAACAATATGGATGAGGTAGCGAGCGATGCAGTTAAGTCGTTAGACGAAGAAAGCGGTAAAATGACCGATCAACCTGTGACGATCAAGGATGACGAACAGGACAAAGAGGGCTCTAAGGCAGAAAAGAACACGGATACGGAAAGTAGGCACGAAGACTTAAACTTATCTTTAGGCGGATGTGATAATAACATAACGTGTAATAGCAGTGAGAAGACCCAAAGCGACGAAGAAAAGGTTGATGAACAAGAACCATACGGACGAGAAAAACTCTCGGTTATTTGTTTGCGCAACGACAAACAATTGCCCTGCAACCATGATTCCGTTTCCGATTGCGATACAACACATGAAAACAACAGCAGTGACAAGAGCTTTGACTCGATAGTAGATGATGGCAACACAACGACAAAATTGGATGTAGCGGGAAATAGTATTTCAAATAACATCCAAGATACGATAACTAACGTGCGGGATAATGAAGAGGACTTCATTACTCCTAGCATGACTCAGATGTTCGAAGACACCGATAACATTGACATTCCTCAGACTACTCAGTATCTGCTTAATCAGGTTACTTGCGAAAATGCTTCCATTATGAATGACAACGCGGCCGCGCACATACAGAGTTCTCTACCCGATCTGGATTCCAAGAAACTCATCTCGGAAGCAAATAAAACTCTCTCGAACTTTTTACTGGATGTCGCTGGCGAGTGCCAGAACGAAATATCGGAGCAAACCGACTCCGGAATATGTACAGTAATCTCATCTGAGAACACAAGTCTGTACGACAAGAGTCCAGAGGAAAAGAAAACTTTCGCCGAGATTCAACGAAACGAAGAGGAGAGACGCGTGTCCGACGAGGAAGATGATACACAGGAGAACACTAGTTACTCCTGTTCGAATCTGAATTCGCCTAAAAGAAGAAACTCCGCCGTCGTTTCAGAGAAGTGCGTCTGTGGCATGAGAAGCAAAAGCGCGATCGCGCCATTAGATCATTCAATCGAGGTGTCCAGTTTGCATGCAAATACTGGAGAGACGCCCGGCAAGAACATTCCACGAATATCGTCAAACTTCGACGGCACTAACGAGGAGTTTATTGGCATAGCGTACGGTAATGGCAACGTGACGCTTTGCAGCTCCAATCAGTCTACCTTTCAGATCAATTATTCCGAAAACTGGGAGAATCTTAATCTAAACATTGACGCGTCAAGCTCTAGAAAAGAATTCTGGGGTGACCTGAAGTGTGAAAACTGCCCGTCCACTTCCCAGAGTATCGACAGGATAGGCAATACAATTGAGAAGTATACACAGGATAAAAGCAAAACGAGAGACGAGAGACAGCGGCGACGACATCACCAGCACAAACTGGATCGAAACACGCAGAGAATTCATCATAGTAGACATCAGACAGAAAAGAGACAGAACCTGCAGATTGTGCGATCAGCTACGAGCACCGAAAGCTCTAGGTAATAATCGTTTGAAACTCTGTTGTGAAAGTTGTCAAGCAATTGTATCATATGAAGTAATGAAATTATCAGTTTGAATCGAGTAGTTTCTACATTATAATATACAAGTATCACAATTTCTCAAATACTTAAGTATTCAAATACTTAAATTTGTGAGTGTTATCCGAATACTTGGATACTATCTGAAGCACAATCGAGTAACTGGATATTCAGACATTATGATACATCATCAGTGTATGAGGAGTCGAATCATTTTCAATATCATTATTATATAATCTAATCATCAAGTCGGAGGCATAAAGTGATGAAATTTTTTCATATTTTTGAAGTAAATTCGTATTATTCCTAATTTGACTAGATTCTCAGAGCGATTGAAATTGATACTTTATGATAATTCCTAGCCTAACTTAACCTAACTGAATACTCTCAAGCACATTTCCAATAATTTTAACGGCGTTTTCTCTAAACGATCTAGAGTAGCAAATAGCAACAAATGCAAAAGGTTAACCTGGTTTGATGGCTGACTGATTCCAGGTCAAATTCGACGGATCGTTGCTTAAATTCATCTCGATTGGCTGGCCTTGGCGCTAGCTTGCATCTTGGCCAAAATACCAGACAGATGCCGAATTTTGGAAGTCACAGTCCGCATATGAGTCCTAGACTTCACCACTTTGAATCGCCGCGTAGTAATATACCGGGACAACGCTGTTGTAACGTCGGCACACAAGTAAACAGAAACTCTGCGTCGCCGCAGAGCAAGAAGTTATTGGATCACAGAAGATCCAAGTCCGAGCAGATTGTTAAAACGAAGAGAAAGGACGTTGTCGAGAAAAGAGACAAGTATGAAAAAGTGAACACGAAGAGAAAGTTAAGGAATACAAGTTCTAATAGTAACCTGATGAACGACGGATTGGGTCCGAGAACGGATAAAAGTGGTTTAGTGACGGAAACTTCATCCACTTCCTGCGCGACTACGCCACCACAGAACATTCGACGTGAGTTTGCTAATTCTGCGAGAGGCAATAATTCACGGAGGTCCGCGCGATCGACGAGACTAGTCAACGCGTCCACAATATCACACGGCATGTCGAGTTTAAATTCTGATCAATCACTAAACTACAATAAGACCGACATGGTTACGAGCTCCAGCTGCTCGAGCTGTTGCGGCGATTCTAGTTCGGAAACTAGTGAGTTCCACAGTGACTGTCAGGACGATGAAGAGATTGCGCTAGCAATGCAGGCCGCCGAGATTGCAAATAGAAATCAGATCAGAGCTAAGTTTCGGTAAGGAACATTTTGTTGTTTCACTTTAGTGTATCGTTGACTCAACGTTAATGCGATTATATTTCGATGTATCATGATGATTATTATTAGTATGTAGTATTTCCCTGTAGAAAAGGAGATCCAATATCCTTTAGTAAATATAGCAGTAATAAATTATGAATACACTTCTTTTTTTCTAGATCCTCGGAAGATTTAGTTCATCGTCTCTTCGTCTGTATAGCCGGTGTAGCGGATCAGTTGCAAACGAATTTCGCATCCGATCTGCGGAATATCTTAAAATGCGTTTTTCTTATGAACAGTAGCCAAATGATAGAAGACACAGAATCGAAGGATCAGAGTTCAGCTACTACGAATCAATCGACGTTAACGGATAATACGTTTAGCGAGACGATCGAGACAGGAGATAATCACAATCGGCAACAAGACTCGTTGCCGGAATACGAGGAGGATATGGAAGAGACCGTTTTGACGCATGACCGAAGTATGCAAATTTATTTACTAAGTTCCCTTTAAGAAATATGCGGACGTATATCGATGAAGTATGAATCAAACACACACACATTTAACCATCAATATTAATATATCCAAGTCTCATGTTTCGCGAGTAAGTCATGAAAATCTAAGCAAATTGTTAGGACGAAAAGTTTCAGTTAGCGCACGATAGTGTACATAATATAAAATTTAATACTTTTTTTTAGTACTTTATTATATTATTATTATTATGTTTTACAGTTATGTAATGTTTTATGTTATGTTTTACAGTATTATATTATTATTATTATGTTTTACAGTTTCCCCCGTTACCGAAAGAGGAGAAGAGTGCGTAGAGAGAGCACCCGCTTGGGTGCCAGATAACGATGCGCCGAGATGTATGGCTTGTCAAGCTGGATTCACGGTAGTGCGACGCAGACACCACTGCCGAAACTGTGGCAAGGTGTTTTGCGGTCGTTGCAGCAGCAACAACGTTCCATTGCCTCGTTATGGACATACGAAGCCCGTCAGAGTGTGCAATAGGTGTTTCTTGTATCAAGTGACGCCGTTCACTGTTTCCCAAGTCACACCCACTAGCTGAACGTTGCTGCTGAGTCTCTTTTCGTCTCTGACCGTCTCTTATCAATTTCATTATTTTCCACTAAGTTTTCTATATGCGCCGGGTTGTCTGGAAAATTTCTTTTTTTCGATAGATCTCCATTTCTCACGAGATGCAGTACTATACTTTATTCTTTCATCTATTCTTTTCGCATATAAACAGAATTAAAGCGGGAGGCACGATAGGGCAGCTCAATTTAAATTATGCAAAAGATATCGAAAAGTTATGAAATGACACGTATACAAAGTACCTCATAATGATCGTTTCAAATACATACTACGGCATACTTGGAATAAATCAGAAATTTTTTTCTCATGTAAAAATTTAGATAAAATGTTCTTTCTGTATTACTTCATCTTTTAGCGAACATCAAATGGGTTGCAATCAAAGTATACGTACTGAACCGCCACGACTATCGCTGGACTATTATTTATGCCTTCACTCTTTCTCACCAGATGAATTTTATTCAATAAAAGATTGAATAATTAAAAAGTAAGATGTTATCTAAATTTTTGCAAGAAGAAGATATTATTTCTTCTTGGTTTGGTGACAAAGTGATGTGCATTTCGAGTAATTATTATGATATATATATACACACACACACACATCTATATATGTATGCATGTGTGTATATATATATGTATATATACGCATCGAAAAAAATACATATATAAAGATCTATTTTTTCCTTCCTTCCTCCATTTTTTTTTCTTTCACTGACTTTTATTAACTCATTTATTAACTTTTACTAACTTTTAACTTTTGCGTTTGTTTGAGAAATCGCAACAGACTTCCCGGGCGACCCAGTGTATATCTATACTCATTACTTTCAATGTACGTACTTGCGTGCAAATCTGATACCCTTTAATAAAATCGCTGTTTTCATAATAGGATTGACATGTAAAAGTTCTTTTAACGACATAGATTAAATTGTATAATTATATGATATGTTCACGCGGTATTGGAAAAAAATTTAATTCATACTAATTGATAGCTTCGTATATAAGTCAACGTTCGCCGCGTTATTCAGTTATTTAAAGGACTAAGCAAATTGTTGAATCGTTTGGGTGATTGCACTTTTTTCTATTTTTCATAGATAATATAACATGTATCGAAAAATGGGGCATTCGTGAACCGCTTCATTTTTTCAATATTATAAAACAATTTTAAAGACGTACATATATAATTAACGAGAGGAATCTAAAAGGGATCGTTACCGCTAGATTACTTCTCTCGCATTGTTTGTACACATTCGTGTACACTTAAAATATAAAAGTGACACGTTACACACAAATATCGGCGCTGATCGCTCATATTTTTACACATTATAATTAGATTATAGTTTTGGAAAATGTTAGTCCAATGTATGTAACAACACAATTTGTATAGATCTTAAAATTTCTTACAAAATCATAGAAATTTTATTTCATAAAAGAATCTTGTCTTCGTGTTTTAATTAGATGATTGTACACAGGACAATAATTTGCATATCAAGAGTATTTTTACGTTATTACTAATCTTAATATTCTTCCTCTACTTATCATTAATGTTAAAATTAATTTAATTATCATAATTATCATTATTGATATAAATTTAAGCTTAGAAAAGTTTTGTCTTCGTAAAAAATTTGTTGTTTAAATTAAATGATTATTAGAGCCTTCTAAATTGCAAATGCAGATTCTTACTGTAAAGTGATTTATCTTGGAGTTTAGTTAGAAGTAATAAAAACTTCTTTCCTTCCCGTGTTATTCACAATAAAATAGCACTTTAATCTTTAACATAAGACAAAAATAAGACTAATAGATCATTGAGTTTTCGATTTGTTTATAATATAATAGCGATGTAAATAATATTTTTTTTATTTCATTCATATAAGCTTATATATTAGTGTTATGTATTACTACTTAGAGTTGTCGAAGCGCTAATCGCACATATATTAAAAAAAATGTTTCCGCCCCGATGTATAGTAGAATGTTATCAATCCCGGCAAAATTTCAAATTAATACATATATATTTTTGCTCTTATTAATATCTGAATTAGCATTTCAAAGATGAGAATAACAGGAAGCAACGAGCATCGTTATATCAATGTTGTTTTAATGGAAGATCTTTTTTACTTATAAAAACACATCTGTATTTCTTTAATCTCTTAATAACAAAAAAATTTATTCGACACTTGCGTATAGTCCATAAGTTTGAGCCGATTGTCGATAGATATTTTTCCATTGAAGATACTGATAGACTTCCGTAAAGAGGAGAAGCTGTGAAAAGTTATCGCCCTTGAAATGTAAAATCTATGTATAGCGTATATATGCATGGTTTATGTGTCTACTATTGTAAATACACACTTTGAAACAAATGCGATAATGTGAAAAGGAACGTAAATTTACGTTCGATAAGCAAGCATATGGTCAGGTCATAATACTATCGTTCATAAATATTCGCTTTAAATCTTCGTCTCGTCGCGTTTTAAAAAGTTTAAAAATACATGGTTAAATAAATATTTATGAGCGGTAAAATAAGTATCGCGCTGCGCGACAGAATTTTTAAGCTACTACTGCCTGCTCTGATATCTCGAGATGTACACACCCAACACACACAGGTGCATTAGCACACATACAATTTGCTCCTGTGCCAAATTTAATGACAATAAGTTTATTCTTTTTTATGACACATAAATTTGGTTCCTATCGCGGGAAGTTTGGAAGCTATTTGGGGACTGCGTAAATTGAAACGTACGCGAGATATTTAATGAAACATTGGTACATCAGTAGTCATACGTGTCTTAACATTATTTTCGTAGGAAATGCTAGTAAGTAAATAAGCGTTAAGACATGTGATACTTGGTATACATTTCAATTGAAAAGAAAAAAAGTGAAGAAAAGGGAAAAAAGGACTGATTGAATGCATGGATCGTTTGTTCGTTAACGATTCGAGAGTTAGCCGTATATAATCAATTTAAACTTCGCGTAAAATAGATTTTTCTGGTTTCTTTTTTAATAAAATATTATATATTAATTTATTTTAACATTTTATTACGTTATTAATTTTATACTTATTAATGTAGTTATTATATCTTTCACTGGTGCCGTCAATTCACACGCCGTCGATATAAATTTGGCGGCGTGCGAATTTATAGGTTCATTATAGTCAGTGTTAACAAAAAGACGATGTTAATTGAATTCCGACGTGCAGCATCGATACACGCCGAAATTCAATTAACATCGTTAATTTGAGGGACATTTATATCTGTATTTACATCACTGTAGATAAGTAGGTAGGTGCGATAATATATCGATTTCCATATGGACGTATATAAATGTATGCAATAGTATATGATAAGTATGTAATAAAAAACGACGAATAGATTGGCGATTTTGTGGAAATCGTTGTACATTATAATGGCGTGTGAATTGTATAAACTATAAGTACGACTTCCCACTCTTTAGGGAAAAAGAAAGAGTTAATTATTTGCAAAAAAATAAATCGTAAAGAAAACTGGTATGTAGTGTCCGTGAGACAGTAAATAAGAGCGTTCGTAAAAGACATGTAAAATTAGTATAAAAGAAAAACTTATTTCCTTAAGAAGCACATTCTCTGAATAAGGAATTTAAAACCTCTTAAAGTATATGGACGCTTAGAAGGAGAGTTATTTTTTACATGTAATCGATGCCTTGCTAGAATATCGTGTTTTCGACTTGAGGATATGAGGCAGAAGGCAACTTTGTTGGTTAAAAACTGCGAAACTAGCAAAATCCGCGAGAGACGAGCTCCTAGCATCTCATCTAGTTCATACGCGTGCGTGATCACTCATGGTAATCAGGATTTCCCCTGTGCCTAATGTCGCAGGTTAGCCTGTGGATACACATACTCGCGCACACACATACACACATACACACACACGTACACACACACACATATACTGTATAATAAGCGAAAAAGAGAAATAAGAGGAAGGAAGAAAAGGAATGTCAGTAAAAAATTGAGGATAGCAAAACATACGGTGGACCAAAGGTCATTGCGTTGCAACATATAAATTTTGTTTTCTTTTTTGTTTTTCTTTACTTTTAGTCTTTATGTTTGAGTTTCTGTTTGAGGTAAAAATAAGATAACAATAATATCTCTTACAAAATATAAAAATTTCGGAGGGAAATGATTATTTATACGTTCAACTACTTCGATCTCATTAATCATATTAATAATATAAATAATATTTATTAGGATTGATTATGGTGATGTGGTGATTTTGGTCCATTCGACACATCGAAAAGATTACGATCTGCCAATTAATTAAGAAATTCCGATGAATAAGGCGACGTAAGTACCTCAGAATTATTTTTATATTATTTTCTTAAGTACACATACGTCGTATTCGACGTTATGATAGGCCGCATGTCGAATAGAACATAGTCGGTTATTTACCGAAATAACGATGGGAAATAACGTTAAAGAACGGTGTCATGGTAATGGTCATTAATGACTGTGTTCACATCACAATTATTTACGATCGAAAATCGAGAAACTAACGATGCATCATTCTATAATGTCAATGATCTTAGGTAACTGGCGATGAGAACATTTGTGTTGAGAGGACATTTGTAGACGAGTGTGTTTGTTTGTTGGTGTATGTTTGTCGTGTGTGTCTATGCGTATATGTTATGTGCGTTTACGTTATGGTAACGAGAAGCTATTTGCAATACTGGATCGTGAGTATTTACTCGCCAATACCCGAATATAATGTGGTCTCGATAATGAATGTATCAAAACACGGATGTAAATAAAGTTTGTTATTCAAAGTGTTTAAATTGTGTTGTTGCGTTGTTATATATTGGAGAAGTCATGTGTCGGAAGCTCTAAGAGAAGCTATCGATTTCTTCAGTACAATGAAGATAAGGATGTCTTTGTTGTCATGGTGACCAGTCAACAAATGTTCCTCCCTCATGACTTCTATATATCAGGAACACTCCTCCACTCGTTACATTCTAGTCAAGACATTGTTACGCAAAAGAACGTAATTTAGAAATTAATCAATACTTCAACATTTCTTAATCTTTCAAATAAATACAGTGATAATTTTGTCAATTGGGTAAAGCATCTCTTTTGAATTGTGCGATTGTTTGTTGCATAATACATTAAAAGATTCATCCGCATCGATCGAGAAGTTTTAATTTCGATACACCATGATGGAAATGGAAATGAACGCCGAATTGGACGGTGTAAGTAAATTTATATATCATTTAGAATATGTCAAAAATGGTAAGTATATTATATGAATATCGTTGTCGCACAGTGCTTCACAAATCTCGTATAGAATTATTTTCGAACACAAGATACTATATGTAGAGTAGGTTACAAGAAAAAGATATTCTTTTTCAAATAAATTTACACAAAGGAACATATTATCGCTATGATATCGACGTATCACAGTTACTGTACGTTCATAATTATTAACTAAAAATATAATGAAAAATTATGACCGTTAATAGTTACACTTTTAAACTCGATTTTCGTTCTTCTTACACGTCGTGTAATCTTACCATCAGCGGACGTCTTTTTTTTTCCGTGTCATATAACATAATGACAGTTCTTTACGTATAATGTCATCATTATAACGCTGCGGAAATAGTGCATAATAACGACGAACAAGAGTACGCAGAACGGGAAGAACGCTTGTCCATGATGCAGAAGGATAATGATGATGTTAAAATAGAATTAATCAACATATCTATAATAACCTAGTCGAAGCGTGTAACATGCAGCAATAAGCATTGCAAATCTTTTAAAGTTATTTGCGGATTTATCTCACATCTAACTATCCCTCAGGGATATTGTTTCAACATGCCATAAACGACCTTTTTTATTTAGCTTTAAAGGAGCAAAATGAAGTTTTATCTACTATCTTAGATGTAATAAATATAATCGACCATCTGCATCTAACGATACGATGCTTTCAGGATGACGGAAGCGAAAGTAGTCAGCCGTCCTCGGAGGGCAGCTCGGCGAGTAGCACATTTTGCACCCTAGAGAAGGATCACGCAAGGGTAAGTGTCTTTGTTCACGGAAGTGGACATCAGAGAATGCTTTCTCACTCGGCTCTTCGGATCATCGAGGAGATTCTTTGGCGTGACAATTCATTGTTTATACGTGATCGTGGAAAGTGTCAAGATTCAACTTTTTGTGATATCTATTTTCTCACATCACTTTAATAAACTGTTAATATTTCATATACATGTAAATAATTACCAGACCAGAATTACTAACTTAGATTAAATTTGTCAATCTAAAGCTTACAATCTAGGCCTTTACTTCCTATTTGTGTCCAAAATCTGATCTTGTTTGTTCAGATAACGAACGAAATGAAAACTAATGAGGCATTGGCTGCTTACGAATCCGAGTATGCGAGACTCTACGAATCTTTGTACAAAGCACACAGAAATGAAAAGGAACTGTCGGAGCAGTGCACATCGCTGAAGGTAAATATTAAAGCTAAAATACACTTGTCTTGTAATGAACAGCTTTGCAGAATCTGAAATAAAGGAGAGAAACGAGATTTCGAGAAATTTAATTTGGATATCGCAGAGAAAGAAATGCTTAAGGTTTCTTTGGAGATGATACAAAAGAGGAAAAAGAAATTTAACTAAAAGTAGAGTTTGTCACATAAACGGGAATCATTATTTCAGGATGAAATTATAAATAACACGTACAAGATGTACGAGTTGAAGAAAACAGTGGAGGGCCACGAGGACGAAATAGCCAGGTTAAAACGAGAGGTCGTCAATATGACGAAGCTAGCTGACGCGGCGCACGCACGCGAGCAAAGCGCACAGGAGGTCATTGAAAATTTACGACTAAACATTGTTAAACTGGGCCAAGAAATCGAGCAGAAGAACAAGCAACTGGCGGTCGAAAAGGAGTGAGTATATATAATTGTACCTAGTAATTAAGCATTATGGCAAATTAGAAATTTATTTCAAGTTATTATGGTGAACGTCGATTAACGTTGAAGATGCTGAAGAAAATAGATTTATTGATCCTCAAGTCATTTTTATTACTAGAAAATAGAAACGAAAGTTGTAATATGAAAAAATAATAATATTCAGGATAAGTAAATCCGTCGAAATATTATGGGACATCTATCTAATAATTTCGAATAAATTGTTGTAACTTTCCAAAACGTTTCATTCGCGTTTTATGTAGTTTCTGTTAGTACTTGATGTAACGATGATGAAAGAAGGAGAGATCGTATCCTATGTCTTGAGAACGTGAGTTTGCGGCGAATTCATACTTGAATGAACTCGGTTACTGCAACTATTGTTGCACATAGCTGCTGCGAATGGTCTCACAGTGAGTTTTACTCACAAAACTTACAGCATTACCGTTAGTAAGCAGAAGGAGGTTCTGTTGAAGGAGAGGGAGCGACTTTTGGGTGAAATGGAGACTATGCGGCAGCGTCTAAAGAACATGTCTTCTTATACGGAAGAGCTTGAGAGAAAAGGAAGCGCAGTCGATCAACGGATGAACGAAATGCAGGAAGCTCTCGATATGCAACTGAACGAGATTTCTCGAGAGAGACGAGGTAGGGAGAGAGCGGAGATAGAAATGCGACAACTTCAGGAGGAGATAATAATGAAGAAGAATGAACTTGACGTAAGGATTTCACTTTTTTTAGGATGAAAAGCATAACGATTGATAAATATATGTGAGAGATTCAAGTATAACATAATATTAATTAGTAAAAACATATCATATTAAGAGAATGTTGGAGTCATAATTCGATGAAGATCCCATCACTCACGCATATATTGTAAACAGTGATATTAAGTGATAGTATTAAATAATTTGTTTGTAAATGAGTTATAGTGTTTATTAAACTATTAGTGTGTGTGTATGTGTGTCGACTGGTGCATGTGTGACGTGGATTTATATTCATATTAGAACTCAAAATACTTATAAGTAGTAGAGTGTGCAATTGATACTGTTCGAGTTGATAATGTCATTGTTATATATCCGAAATTAATATGATGTTGTAAATACTATTAACTTAACAAGTAACGACTTTGTAGGCTGCAAATGCGTCTATTGAAGCTAATGCAAGTAACGCGATGAGACTTGAGAGCCTGGTAAAGGAACATAAGACAGCGAACGAGAAAATGCAAAAGGAAATTGGTAAGCTTATGCTAAGGAGAATGAATCTTCAAACGGATCTCGATAATACGAACGTCGAAATCGAGAAACTGGAAAAAGAGCTGACCGATAAGGAAAAACAGCTGAAAAATATTAAATACGATCTTAACAAGTAATCAAAGAAAGATTCATACATAAGAAAATTAATCATCCTTTGAAGGCCATTCTCATATTGCATGTATGAATGTTTCAGAACACAGGAAGACAATATTAAGTTCAAACTCGAAAAAGATCTCGTAGAAAAGCGACTGTTGAAGAGCGAGACTGAGCGATCCAAATTGGAGCGTGACTTACAGCAGGCAATAACCGATGTAAAAAATGTAAAACACGAAGCACATACCTGTCATAAGGAGATCGTAGATGAGCGGCAACGCATTGAGGCATTATCGCGGGAGAAAAATATGCTCGCGCGCAGTAAAAAAACCGTTCAGGATCGAATCAAGCGAATTAATCATGAGCTCCTACTAAGCGAACATGCGAAACGAAAACTTGAACGTGAGCTGGACACATTGACACAGATTCTCTACGAAGTGAAGATACACTTGGAAATGGTGGAGAAAGAAAGGGACAAGTGCAACTTGACGGTGCAAGGATTAGAGCGACAGGTGAACCGATCCAATTTATACACGTCATTGTTGTCATTTTATTATTATCCTATCTTCGGCAATCAATACTGTTAACAATTAATATTATTTTTTCTTTACGTTTTCTCTATTCGCGACGGTAGGCGTTTAGTTTTACTAGTATATGTCATAGATTTGCCACATGTGAAAAAAAGATAAAAGTTTGTTGAAAATCATATCGAATACGATATGTTGTATCGTTAATTTTTATTGTTAATTAAATCAAAATATCTCTCTGTACAATTTTTCGCAATGACTAAAGAGAAAAATTATACAGTCACGGAGTAACATAAATCTGAAGGAAACCTTAGTAATTTGCTAGGCTAGATTTGATACTCTTATTAGGGAAAATTTTACAATCTCAAGAACGTGGAGGGAGCTCCTTCTGACTCTCGTATTTATGAGTTAGCGAGAGAAATAAAATTTTGCATTTCAAGGAAACGCTACTTGCGAAATAATATGGAATGACCGAGAAGCAGAGAGAAATCGAGAGACGCGAAATATAAATCTTGTAACAGGCCCATTAAAGGAGAGTAAAAAAATTCTTGCGACAATAATCCTCATTTCGTAGCGAAAGATAACGATCCACGAATGATCGTTCAAGTCGACCACGAATATTTATTTAAACATCAAAGATGAAAATAATATTCTATCGTTTATTCAAATGTAATACAATGCACAAAATAGTAGATTTTATTTAAATGATATATTATATAAAAAAAATAACAGAGTATTTACAGCGATAACAATATGACGATTGTAGAATCGCAATAAAATACAGCATATATTTTGTATCGTGGCGATTGTAAACAACTTTGTAAAATTGCTAAAATGATTATTTTAAGCAAAATAATCTAATGAAAGCCTTTATAATTTTTGTAAAACTTTTTTGTTTTCTCGTCGTAGCTATAACCCCGACTTATCGATTGCACGTGAGTAGCTCGCTGCTAGAAGTAATGTGAACGACATGTTTAATTTACGATATGTTGACAGATAGAGGGTTATATAAGCGAAACCAGGTTGAAACAGACAGAGATTTCCGATTATAAGAAGAGTTTGGCGGAGGCCGAGATAAAATACCGTCAACAGCAAAGCTTATTCGAGGCCATTCGTGCGGAACGAAATTTGTACAGCAAGAACTTAGTAACGGCGCAGGAAGAGGTAAATGATTTGCGAAGAAAGTTGAAAATCACAGGTCATCAGGTCGAACAGCTGAAAGAGGATATAGTCACGAAAGAGTCCAACCTTGTTAAACAAGAATTCGGTAAGCTATTTCGACCTAATTTCTTCAATACCATGTCTTTTCCGAGATTTTGAAAAAAAGATTAATTTCTTTCTATTTTTATGCTCACTAGCATGCACGACTGACAAATATAATATCGAAGACTAAAATGTAAAAGAACTCTCTATCTGATTTTCCTCTTCTTTATTTCGATATTTCTATATTTATTTGGTCATAGTACACTATTTATTTGGTCAAACTTGCAAAATCTCTAATTGGAAAAAAGAGAAAGGAAGAAACGACAGGGAGAGAGCATTTTAATAATACGAATCTATTATTTTATTTTTGTGAAAAAACTATAAAAACCGGTAAATCACAAGACTTTATTAATGCGACTCTATTAACTAAAACTCATAATAACAAATTTAGCTCAACGCATCATTCATTCATCAGTGTAGCTGATTGTTGTGTTGGAGGCTAGTTTAGCCCATTATCAGCAAGTTAGAGTGATCGCTGTTTAAAAAATTATTTGTTTTTCAGTGCTAGGGAGAATAGAAAAGGAGAAGGAAGACCTCAAAGTCGATCTACGATCCTGCCGCATGGAGTTATCAGGTTTACGACACGATATCGAAGAGATGAAGCGTGAAGAAAAGCATCTCAGGTGGGAGGTTCAACAGGCGCACATAATTGTCGGGCGCCGCCAAAAGGATATAGACAATGTGATGAATGAACGTGACATACTTGGTACGCAATTAGTTCGCAGGAATGATGAGCTGAGTCTTCAATATAGCAGAATCAAGGTTCGTTGACACATAAATAAATTGTCGCATAAATTTTGTTCACTCTAAAGAGATGTTGAAATTATATTATTGTCTGCGTTTTTCTGTGTATATTATAATTTATAACAGTTACATGAACAATTGAACTACAAAACATTCTTCATATATATATATATATATATATATATATTTATTTATTTATATATTTATATATATTTATATATATTAAATATATATATTAAGACTTTCAATGTTACTCGCGTATGACATATACTGCAAAAATTCTCTTATCTTCTTTGCGTCGTTTTGTTAATGAAATTCGATTGACTTCCGCCAATTTAAAACGATGAAAGAATTCAATTTTGATTAGTTAAATATGGAGCGAATGTACGAGTAATTTTGTCAGGTTTTTTTCATCACTTCCTTACTCATCGTTGTAGGTTTTGAATACCACACTTCATCGCGGCGAAACCCAGTACAGTCAGAGATTGCAAGATATCAGATTACTCAAGTGCGAGATAAAAAAGCTGAATACGGAGAAAGTCCTCCTTACCACAAATATTGCCAACGTTAGTGATTTACGGCAAGAGGTTTTTCACCTTAACCGTGACCTGGCGAAGGAGAGACTCAAAGTGACTGCGCTCGAAGAAGAGGTTCAAACGCCATTAAATATACACAGATGGCGAAAGCTCGAGGTAAGCAGCGCATTTTCGTTTCGACAGGTCTCAGAATTTAATGAAATAAAAAACAAAGAGGAGTTGTCAATATATAGCCAAGTTTATAAATGAACTTAGGTATAGAAAATAAGGAGATATTTCCTTTATAATATATAGGGCACAGATCCCACTACCCTTGAGCTCATCAAGAAGGTACAAATTCTACAAAAACGCATTCTAAAAATGTCCGACGATATAATCAATAAAGAGAAGAGTATAAAAGACACCGAAAAATTATATACTAACCTTCGCGATGTCTTGTCGAAGCAACGGGATTCGCGAATGACGGCAAATCTGGATAAAGTTCAAAGTGCCTTGCGCAAAAGAGGAGAAAAGCTGAAAGTGAGTAATAGGAAACTTACAGTTCAAAAGTTTTCAGAGAAAACGGCCGTTATTCTTCGCCAGCTAACGGAGGTCGGCCGGATCTAGCGCGAAATGTAAACAAACATCTCAGCATGACGAATTATACCAGTCTATTAGTAAAAACTTCGTTAAAATATTTTGAAAACAAATGTCGGTCTTATAGACGTCTATTATTTGGATTACGCATTATGTTTGGAGGAACGTATAGGAGGATCTAAGCCAACAAACCGAAATATTATTTCTTACAGCTTATGATCGGGAAATTTGTCATAAATCCAGTCAATAAACGTCTATGAAACCGACATTTGTTCCAAAATATTCTAACGAAGTTTTTACTAATAAACCGGCATAATTCATCATGCTGAGATATTGCAAACGATTGTTTTTCGCATAGTGTCTCGTCGCTGAGTTAAACATGTACGAGACGCAAGTGATAGAGTATAAAGATGACATGTCAAAAATGGTCAATGAAATGTGCGAATTAAAAACGAAATACTACACTCAAAAAAGGAAGTTCCAAAAGATGAAAGAGTCTACTGTGAAATCTCCCTACGAGTCTATTTTACCGAGAGTACTAGTATCCAGTGTGAAATTCTGCGGGGGTGGCTTCAACATGACGACACCTACATCGAGAGATTGCTTTCTAGAGTCAGCGAAGAAATGAAAAATGTACAATTGAATAAAAGGTTGTTGTAAATCGTGATTATCTGTATTACATACGCTATGAACATTTGAAATGTTTAATAATTCTTGTTTGTAGGGGTGTTCTTGAATTATATATCATATCTTTCTCCAGCGACAGATAATATATATATATATATATATATATATATATATATATATATATATATATATATATATATATATATACATATATACATACATACATACATACATATATGCGAGAGAATAAATGAAAATAAATTTTGTACTTATTATATTAAATCACGTTTTATTATATTTTTATTCGACAATCATCACAATCTGTTGATAATGGCGATAAATATTAAAAATATTAACATCGAGAATTTGATACGAGTGCGATAGTAAAAAATCTTTGTGCGAAATTTTTAGTGTCTTTTGTATATGGAATACATAAACATTCATTCTCGGAAAAAAACCAGTAGCGATCTTCAAAATATGCCTTTAATTTATTCTCTTTTACTCAAAAAAATTCCTCATTATAAAATCTCGGTAAATGCCTAACACGATGCACAAATCCATGCGGTTTATGGCCCAAAAATTTTTCACAAATTCAAGATGCGTTGTGTGTACCGAGATAGATTTTTCTCATCTGTGCGGTTGCTACGTGTCCCGAATATTCGCGGTTGATATAATTCCCGGAATATATTCACTAGGCACCAAGTAGACTCCACGAATTACCGAGACTTGGGAGTAGTTTGCGACGAAGGATTTTAAGAGCGCTCCGGGAGAAGGAAGTAAATTGCTTTCTGGCTTCACACTTCGAGAGTAATGTCTCGGCGGCTGCGAGATGTAAGCTCTGTAATCTTTCACTATATTCGTGAATCTATAGCACTGGTCGCTAGTATTCAAAATATCGTAAATATTATAAATTTATATTTTCTATATATAAAAATTGTATATATATTAGGAAAAGAAAGCAGGAAAAACCGTTTTGATTAATATGCTTCTAGAAGGTATATTTTTTTTTATTATATTTTCAGGAAAATCTCAATTATATAAGAAGTTAATTCTTAAGAGGTTATCCGATAGTCGAAGAAAATCGTATTGGAAAAGTTGTATATATTTACGATCTAATCCAATATATTTTCACCTCTATATAAATATTCGAAATAGATGTTGCAAACGAAGTAACTCGCTGCTTTTACGTTTATACGAACGTCTGGGCTGAAAATAATGGAAAAGTATTGATCGGAAAACAAATGTAAAAATTTGAAGAAATTGCTTCGTCAATTTTATACTGGCTAGAAAAGAGTAATGTCTTGTTACAGTAAATTCTTTAAGAAAGCACATAAAAGTAATAATTTTTACAAAGCAATGTATATTTGTTTGTTTTGTTGCATTATGCACATAAGCCTTATATATCGCGATATAATTCCTTATAAGCGATATATAATTCCTTATATATCGCTTATCTAATTTAATGCTTATTTTAAATTAGCTAAGATATACATTTTTCCATAGAGGTCTTACACTCGTCGAACGAATCGTTACCTACGTGAGCTTAAGCGGAAAATAACACAATCATCCGCGCCGAATCGGGAAGTACGTTATTACTCGTTCAACCGTTAATTGGCTCATACATATGCATATGTGCATGCCTTTATCCGTCCGTAACTCGCGAGCTACCAACGAATTCCCTACGTACTGCATATAGAGATTGCATCGGTATAACACATTCATAGTTCTAATCAGAGCTAGAAGAATGCATTTATTGATTTCTAGTAAACAGGTGATAACCCGTAAATAATTTACATGTTCAATAAGTTTAAAATTAAATTAATTAATTTAATATCATTGATTATTTATCTTGTCATTAATATCATTTATCCAATGTCGAAGTGTCAATTTAATTCGAACGATTTCAATATATTATTACGCGTCTTTTATCACACCTTGTCGCCGATTAAAATAACGCAATTTTGAAACACAATACGTATTGTAAGAGTAATGCAATCTCTTTACACGTGTTGGGAGCTAAAATGTAATTTTCGCCTTTTATTTCGAAAAGCATTTGTGATAAACGGATTATTTTCTTCACCAAGTTGTTGAGCACGCTAAAAAGCATTTCTTTTTGGATATATAAATATCACGATCTTTGTACTTCACCTTTCTCAATATTGTTGAAGTATTAAGAACAACAACAGTTCTTTCAAAACTGCTTTCCACATTAAACCATAGTATTTTCGTACAATTGGACGGATTTAAGAATAAAAATAATATTGCGATGTCGAAACACCGAGTGTACATTATATTATAAACCGTTGAAGATAAAACATAAATCCGCACGCATTTGGCGCATTGAAACTCGACAGGCGATTGACTTAATATTGTATATGCAATATTACATAATATTGTTGAAAGAGACATGCGATTTTCTTGCAGTGTGCAACACTACCGTTCGATTATATTCTGGCAATATTCATTGTTGATTTGAACAAAACGTGCTGGACCATATGGTGGCAAATTGGCAATTGGGGTCGTTGCCGGCGAATACCGGAATTCGGAAATTTCGTGGCACGATTTGTTATCGTCCGCTCGGAAATTCACCAACTCGGCGAAAGTGTTCTTCGTCTGTATATGTACGCGTGCACGTGTGAATCCGCATGCGCCATAACGATTTAATCCATTTCAAGTTTGCCACGATCAAAATCTCCATTTATTTATTAGCTATTTGGCATTTCTCTCATACTGCTACGTGTTGACAATTTCAGATGCGCTAAAAATCAATGAAAGTATTTCTTTGTCATAAGTTGGACGTTGCTCCCATTTACTATAACATCTGTACCAACCTAATTATCGTGCAGTAATTTTTGTTATACTAGTAGGGAGTTCCGCTCCACAAGTTCTCCAGCATTCATTAACTTCGTAAAGTGATTTTTGCTTCGAGCTGCACGCTTTCAAGTCACTAATTCTCCGCGCATTAAGTGTCCGCCAGCTTTCTGATCAGATCCAATCGTGCCGACCTGATATATCCGTCACTCCGCCCTCATCAATTCCGAGTTAATCATTTAACGAGACGGCAGGCAAGGAATTAAGCTCGGGCCCAGGAGCAACGATTTTCGATTACACGCGTGAGTTTATATCCGAGTACAAACTTCGATTAACTTACATAATTTGCTGACATAATTTGCGTTACAAACACAACGCACAGCGCTGTTTATACAGCGATTAACATTCGTGTGTGAAGTATAATATATTCCTCACTTATATTAATTAATTTATTCGGCTTCCAATTCATAGTCATACAGTTAATTAATGATATCGATAATTAACTATAAGTAACGTCCAATTGAAATTCAAGATCTTTTAGTGATAACACACAAAGTTCATATAAATTAACATTTTCATATAGTACATTTTGATATTACAATAAATGTGTTACAACTTGTTTCTTCATGTATATGGTAAACACTGTGTCGCGCGCACGGTTATCCGTGATTGATGCAACCGCGCGTACTGCCAGACCGCAACGTGTCGTATCTACTTGCACGACCCGACTAGAAGATAATCTTTACCATTATGTTTGATTACTTGTGCGTTGTTCACTCAGGACTGCTACTCACTTACTCACATGCTGTAAAATGAAGTCAGTAAACAATAACTTGTACGCGATCTTTTGTATGATGGGGAGAGATAATATGACATAAATAAACAATATATATATATATATATATATATATATATATAAAAGTAGAATAACATCTAAATAAGAATTTTTTGTAAATAATATTTTTTCTGTTATATACGAAATTTTTTTCGTAATTTGCAACGCATTATTTGAATTATTGTTTCATTTATTGATTAAATTCAAGCGGACTTTATATACTAGTATTGCATGTAATAAGGTACGATACAATAAAATATCTGTGAATAAGAAATGTAGAAAAGTTAAAGATATATATATATATATATACACGTGTGACATTTTCGACGAATACAACCGAGATATTCGTTTTCGTAATTAATAAATCTTAATTTTGTAATTGTTTTAGACGATTTGATACCATATCAGTGTGATATTTTCCAAAGTAGCTGGAACACGTCGATTCCGTGATGTTGAAACGTATAATATTATTTACACGGTTCGTTTAAGTCTCGCGAGGTAGCGTAGATGCGTTGACAACGATGATCGTCGACGATGCGCTCGCGCGCGTTGTTAGCGTAAATTATGCATACAAGCGAGCTAAATCGCACAATTTAGCGGTTAAGCCTGGCGAGATTGCGGTGCGGCGCGCGGTCGAGAGTGCGGCGTTGGCGTTTCGAGTGAAGCTTGCTCTCAAAACTTCACTTCGCTAATTACAACCGTGACTTGATTGTCTTGATGGAATATAAATTGGCGAAAGATGGGAAAGATAGCTCTAGAAGGGAGAGAGAAGAGGGGAGAGAGAACGAGAGAGGGAGAGGGCGTACATACGATAGCAGTTCGAGATACACATGTGCCTCAAACGAAGATCCAGGTTATCGTGGAGTCTGTTGTTCTGACTATCCACCAACCAATTGCACACTCTAGCGGTGCCTGGAGCCAGGAACCCTCGTGTCCGCAACGCGATACGTCGAACGAGATAGCCTGAGTTTCAAATCCGGGACGAGCGGGTACTGCCACCTCGGAGATTAATTGTTTCAGCCCGTCATGTTAAATTGCCGCAAGCGCTTAAATTTCCTCGCATTTTCGTAATGTCACCGCTTAGATGAACGTATTAAGGGTGCTAAAATGCTCTGCATTACTAACTCAATATATTTGCTATATAGCATGCAGTGTATACTAAACTATATTAGTTGCACAGAATTACTAAAGTTTCTGCACTATAAAAAAAATAAAAGGAATATCCGACGCTTTCTGAATCGAGCTTGACAACCACTAATAATTCCAATCGATACGAATATCTGAAATGTAATTTAAAACCTTTATTATACGTTAAATAATTCGCAATTCATATTGAAGCCATCACCGGAAGAAACTACCAACATATTGTGACGGCAGTGATGATGCCCGTAGTCTAAAATATACGCGCGTTATTAGAAAATGGAACCAACAATGTATGGTGCCTGTCAAAGGTAAACTAGCGAAGTAGACATTTTCCGTGCGAACGCGT